CCAGAGCCGGGGGAGAACCCAGGGGTCCTGACTCCCAGCCCCGCCACTCCGACCACAGGGCCCCACTCCCCTCCCAGAGCCGGGGGAGAACCCAGGGGTCCTGACTCCCAGCCCCGCCACTCCGACCACAGGGCCCCACTCCCCTCCCAGAGCCGGGGGAGAACCCAGGCGTCCTGACTCCCAACCCCCCGCTGTAACCATGTAAAACACCATCACCGCCCATCTGCTTTGCTCCCCCTGCCCCGTGTCCTGGCCTCCTTCCCCACATCCTGTCCCGGAGCCCCCCAGAGCCGCAGGCCCCCAGGAAAGGGAGCGAGTGCCGGGCGCCCCCGGCCAGAACATCCTGTGCTTACTAACCCCCCCGCACGGCTTCCTCGTGGGGGGGGGAGCTGTCCCGGCTCAGCCCCCAGATCTCCCAGTCCGGCTCTTCTGGGAATTCTGTGACTAGGGCCCCGGCTCCCGTCTGAGTGAGTTTCCCCCTCCCCCCGTGACCCCCCTGCCCTGGGGGGAGGCAGGGAGCTCGGTCGCTGCAGCCCGTCCCCCGCCCAGCAGCCGGGCGGGGGGGGGGGGGTGTCAGTGCCCATGGGGGGCCTGGGGGACCCGTGCTGACCGGGCGCAGGCTGGGCCCCCTGCTCCGCTCTTGGGTGCCTGCCGCTCCCAAATGAGCCCCCCCTTTGTTCCCCAGAGCCCCCCCACTCTGGGGCACCGGCCCAGCAAGAGACGTGGGGCCCCAGCACGTCGGGGGCCCTGAGCTCGGGGCCCGGGACAATTGTTCCCCCTTCCCCGCCGCCAGGCCTGCCCCCCGTGGCCTGGGACGCCAGGGAAACCCCCCAAAGCCTCCCCCAGCGAGGGGCCTGCCCCACAAGCCAGTGCCTGGGGGTTGTGGGGGGGCTGAGGGAGCCTCTGAGCGCCGCCTCGATGGGTCCCGGGTCTGTGCAAAGGGTGGGGCGTCCCCCCACCTGTCCCTGCCAATGTGTCCTCCCCCCACACACAAAAGGCCCCCAGCCCCTCAAGTCATTCCCCAGAGCAGGCAACTGGCCTGAGGAGCCCCCCAAGATCCCCCTGGGAGTGGGAGCAGGCCACCCACCAAACCCTGCTCCACCCAGCACAGGGGGGGGGATCCTGTTGGCTGGGGCCTGGCCAAGGGGCAGAGGGCCGGGCGCTCTGGGGTGGGGGTGGGGGAGGCTGGGCTGATGTCAGCCGCCCCACCCCCGACCCAGATGTTCCCAGGGCGAGGGGTGGAAATCCAGGAAATTCCCAGGCGGGTGCGGGGGAGGCCCAGATCCCGGTGACCTCAGGCTCCCCCGGGGGCCGGGGCGGGGTGGGGGCGTCGAGAAAACGACGCTCCTGTGGCGGGCTGGGACCCAGCTGGGGAGGGAGCTGGGGGGCTCGTAGGGGGCCCGGCCCCAGTGCTGCCCTGGGAAGGGGCCATGGGGCCAGACCCCCCTGCCCTGAGTGCTCTGGCCCGGGAACGTCGCCCCGGAAGGGTTTAGGGGACTGGCTCTGCAGAGAGCCCCTGCCCCCCCTGCCCAGTGCCCACACCCGGGGGGCTGCTGCCGGGACCCCCAGGGCTGGGGGCTGCATCTTGCTTGGTTTCTGCCCAGCCCTGGCGCAGCAAGGCCGGGGCCCGGGTCAGAGCCCCCACCTGCCTTGGCGATGTGAGAGCAGCAGCCCCGCCCCTGCTGAGCCCCCGCCCCCGGAAAGCCATGGCCGGACGGGACCCGGGGCAGCTCCCCCAGCCCCAGAGGCCTGGGGTCAGGGGAAGCCACAGTGGGGGATCCAGGGGCTGGGGCTTGGTTAGCAGCGCATCCAGGGTGCCCCCCGGCCCTAAGGGCAGGGGCTGTGGGACTCACCCCACATTGAACCAGGGGGTCTCTCCCAGCAGTCACCTGGCCCATGGAGCCTGTCAATGCTGCCCTGACGAAGGCTTCACCCCCCCAGCTCCTGCCCCGACGGTGTGGGGGGGAAACGTTCCCTCCTGACGCCGGCCCCGAACCCTGGCAGTCTAGAGCCCCTGTCGTTGCTGCCCCTGTTCCCACCCAGTGGCAGCTGCAATGGGGCCAGCCCCTAGTGAAGGCGCATGAGGGGTCATGCACCCCTGCTCCCTCCAGGGCTGTACAACCCCGCTGCACGGTGCTGTCTCCTGGAGGAGCTGAGGCCCCCGTGGCCTCCTGCAGCGTGGAGTCCCGCAGGTGAACCGCACTTCGCGCCACAAGCAATCCCTTTGCGCCGGGCAGTGGCGCGGCCTCCTCTCCCCACCCACCCCGCAGCGCCCACCCCTCCCTCTCTCCGCTGGGGGAATTATTTGACACTGAATGGTGGGGCTGAGCTGAAGTGTGTATGTAAGTTTGCTGCCCTCTGGTGAACTTAGCGAGCCAGGACACCCTAGATACACTGGGCCACCTCAGCCGTCGGGGGGCCCTTCTCCAGCGCTGGGCCTTGGCGATCGGTCGTCATTTGGTCCATTTCTGCGCGGCTGCAAGGGTCCAACGGGGGAACAGACTCGCTGCAACCACAGGAGGGGTGGGGTGGGGTCTACAGTCGTCTGTAGACCGGAGCGACTGCCAACACCGGCACGACAGATGAAGTCCGGCCGCTTTAGGGCCGATGTCCGAGGTCGGCGTTCAGTGGGGAGGCCCAGCCGGAGCGGCGGCGTGTCCGCGCCGGGCAGCAGGGCGGGGAAGATCCAGATCGACTAGATCCCGAATGTGGGTCTCGTGCCGAGAGGAGGTTGGTTCCATACTGGGTGGAAACGGCCCGGGACGCCGAACCGAGGGAGAACCTCCGCGTCAGAGCTGGAGCGACCGGCGAGCGTCCAACCCAAATGGCAAAAGCTGGAGACGGCGTCTGCGGAGTCGTTATTCAAAGCGATCGGAGTCGCGGGTGGGCCTGATCCTCAGCCAACTCCCTTGGGAACCCTGTCGGGGCTCTGTACTAGAACAATGTCTGAGAGCGAGACCGAGAGAGAGACGCCGACGCTCATGGGCCTGCCAGGATGCTGCAGTGTGAGATCCACTGTCTGACGCCAGATACTGATTTAAAAGGCGCCGACAACCGATTCCCCGGACTTACACGGGCAGTGGTTCCGTTACGCAGACGTCCCCTGGAAGGCCTAAAAATCCTGAGTTTTTTTCAGAACAAATAAACTCTGGGCACCGGCAAGTCACAGCCTGGCCCCGGTGCCTTTGGGGGCCAGGTTTTCTCCTCTAGAAAAGGAAAGCCCGGATCCTCCCCTGATCCCTGGACTCCGGGAGCTGGGGATTTAAGGAAAACACGACTCCAAAACGCTCCTGAGAGATGGTAATGCTGCCATCCTGCCAATCCCGCTGCCGGGCCAGGACCTAGCTGTGCCATCCTCTCCAGTTAGCAGTAATGGATGGGGTGGGGCAGAGTGGCAGATCTGACAGCCACAGACAGAAACACGGGGTCCTGATCTCGGTCGGAGTCTGGGCAGCGCCCGGCACAACGGGGCCCTGATCTCGGGTAGGGTCTGGGCAGCGCCTGGCACAACGGGGCCCTGATCCTTTGGCTTCTAGCTGCTCCGGGAACAGAAATCAACAACAATTTCACTTCCCTGAGGAATTTTTTGTTTAATTATTAGTTCGTATTGGAATTTTTTGTTGCTAGCAAAAAGAGAAGAACGGCGCTTTCCAGGTACAAAACCCCACGGACACATATATATACTATGTACAGAGCTGCGACAGGGCCGTGTCCCAGCGCCGGGCCCGCGCCTGGCACCAGGAGCCGGGGTTTTGGCCGTTCCCCGCGCCAACCTGTCTAGCCAATCTCCTGCCCCTGGCGGGCGGGGGAGCTGGGAGCGCCCGCCGGTCGCTCAGACCAAACACAGCGAACGAGACGATGGGTTTTTAGGTGAGTTTGGTTTTTTTTACATGATTTTTCTTTGGTTTTTCAGTTAAGACTTTGCTGTGAGCCCCTCCCCCGCTGTGCCACTGGAAGGGGGGGGGAGAGGCAGAATAAGGGGGGGTAAATTGCAGCAGCCCCTGGCCCAGAGAAGGGGCAATAGGATGGGGGGGGTCTGTGGAAGGGATACGCGTGCAGGGCACTGGCATGGGGGCAGCCTGGCGTCGCTGCAGGGACGGAGGGCATTGGGCACTGCAGTCTGGTGGGGGCTGGCCCCCCCCATGGCCTGTCACCGCCTTCCTGGCCTTGGGACAGCAGAAAGCAGGAAGGAGACAGGGCCGAGCGCAGGCCCAGGGCAATCTCAGGGGGTTGAATGGGCTACAGATTCCCGGTCTGGTTGATTGGCCCTGCCTGCCCCACAGCCTGGGGATCATGCAGCTGCCTCTGGGGTAGGGCATGCAGCCGCTTATAACGGGCGCTCCCTCTCCCTTCTGCCCTGGAAAGACTCGAGGCCCCCCTAAGGGCCTGGGGGAGCTGTCCTGCAGCTGCAGAGAAGAGCAGAGGCTAATTCTATTCCCACAAAGCCCATAGGAGTCCCTGGAGGGAGGGATGGGTGGAAGGCTGGCTGGATGGGTGGGTGGATGAGTGGAAAGATGGAAGGAGGGATGGGTGGAAGGATGGAGGGAGGGATGGATGGATGAGTGGAAAGATGGAGGGAGGGATGGAAGGAGGGATGGGTGGAAGGATGGAGGGAGGGATGGACAGATGGGTGGGTGGATGGGTGGAAGGATGGATGGATGGGTGGGTGGATGAGTGGAAAGATGGAAGGAGGGATGGGTGGATGGGCGGAAGGATGGAGGGAGGGATGAGTGGAAGGTTAGAGGGAGGGATCGACAGATGGGTGGATGGATGAGTGGAAAGATGGAAGGAGGGATAGGTGAGGTGGAAGGATGGAGGGAGGGATGGACAGATGGGTGGGTGGATGAGTGGAAAGATGGATGGAAGGAGGGATGGACATCTGGACTGATGGAAGGACGGACGGATGGGTGGCTGCCGAATAGCTAGGAGCGTCCCATCCCCACGGTGAGACACCGGCCAGTCGGGGGGCCCCTTCTCCCGGATGTGGGGGGTCCCGTATTAGGGCACTGGGCAGCCTGTCGAGGCGGGTGTCTCCTGCCCGCTGGGGGTGGGTGCCCGGGGAGGCGCGGGGGCCTTAGGACAGGGTGTTGAGGAAGTGGCTCTCCCCAGCCAGTGAGCTCAGCATGGAGCTCATGTCTCCGATGGCCATGTTGGGGGGCCCGGGCGGGGGCAGCCGGGCGGGGCTCAGGGCCGGGGGCTCCGGGTCGTCCAGGATGGCCGTGAAGTCCAGGTGCGTGTTCTCCAGGTCCAGCGAGTCCAGGCTGTTGGAGACCTGCCCCTCTGGTGCCAGGTAGGGGAAGGAGTCGGGCTTGAGGCTCTCCAGGCGGGGGGCGTACGGCCTGCCGGGATCCTGGCCCCCGCAGCTGGCCGGCTGGTGCCCGTGGGCGCCCTTCCCCGGCTGCGCGGGGCCCTGCCCCGGGTAGAACAGCATGGCCGCCTCGGCGGGGCCCTCGGGCGGGGCGTGCAGGGGGGGCAGCCGCAGCAGCCTACGGGGACTGGCCTCCAGGGGCTCGCAGGAGGGGCTGGGCTGGCCTGGGCTGCCCATGTAGGCCAGGCTGTTCTGCCTGGCCGGGGGCTTGGGCCCGCCGGGCGGGTGGGGCACCAGCTCGGGGTTGAAGCACTGGCTGGCCGGGGCCCGGTTCTCGGGCGGGCCCAGCGGGTGCCCTGGCTTGGCTGGGTAGCCGCCATACTTGGGGCTGAGGTACGCCTGGGGCGCCGGGGGGTGCCGCAGGGGCTGGCTGTGCCCGGGCCCCCCGCCCAGCCCCATCATGGGCTCCCCGGCCTTCGGGGGGGGCTGCGGCTGCTCCCCCCACATCAGCGCCTGCTGGGACTGCACGTAATTCCGCACCATCAGCTCCTTGACCTGCAGCATGGGGGTCTGGGGCCGCCTGCCCGGGGGGGTCATGGCAAAGCAGGAGCCCTGCTGGGGCTCGGCCTGGTACCCGCTGCCGGGGGCGGCCCCCATGGCTCGGGGCTGGCCGAACGCAGCGGCTGGCGGCTGCTGCGCGTTCTGGCAGGGGGTCAGCGCTGGCGCCGGGAGCTGCTGCTCCGCTTTGATCTGCAGCTGGCTGAGCTCGCCGAACTGCTGCCTGCCGGCGAACCCGCCCGGGTGGCACATGCCCATGTGCTTGGGCTGCGGCTCGCAGGCGCCGGGAGCCGGGTACTGGTGGTGGCAATGCCGGCTGCCCACCGGGCTGGGCACCATGGGGTTCATCTCCAGGCTCCCCGGGGCGGCCTCATCCCAGGGCACCGGGATGTTGGCATCGGGTGGGCGCATGCCCTGGAAGTGCTGGTTCACCTGGCACTGGGGGAGCGAGAAATCAGGCTGCCCAAGGCCCCCCTCCAGCTCCCCGTGGGCACCTGGGCTCAGCTGCATGCCCCCCATGGTCCTGTGGGCACCGATATAGGCGCCCTCCCCCTGCAGCTCCATGCCCGGCGCCTGGCACTGGAAGCCCTGCTCCGGGTAGCCCAGGTACTGCTCCATCTCCAGCAGGCTGGTCTCCCCGGGCCCCTCCATGGCCACGCTCTCCAGGAAGACGTTCTCGCTGATGCTGGGCGGGCGAGGGGAGAAGAGGTGGCGCTGCAGGCTGGCGTCGGTGCCCCCGAGGGGCTGCAGGCCGGCCCTGCCCACGGCCGACACGCTCACGTTACCCACGCTCTTGTAGCGCTGCACGCTGGGTGCGGCGTGCGGCTCGGCCGCCGTCCGGGCAGGGTCACTGGCCCGCCGGCCACCGGGCGGGTGGAGGCTGTAGCCCGGGTACTCGTTGGTGCTGTGCCGCCGCAGCGAGCCGTTGGCCAGGAAGGACGGCACGGCTGGGCCCGGGTAGTCCCCGGGGAACCCCGTCCTGCCACTCAGGGCCCCCCGCTCCATGCTGGGCAACGGGGTGGGCGGGGGGCCGCCCGTGGCCGCAGCGTACTTGGCTTTGAGGTGGTACTGCTGGGCCGGCGTCAGGCCCGGCAGCCCCCCGCAGTGGCTGGCCTCGCTGGAGCGCCGGGAGGCGTCGGGGGAGATGGGGTCGTAGGCCTCGGCCACGCCCAGGCTGCTGGGGAGCCCCCCCGGCCCCTCGGCGGCCCGCGGGTAGGGCGAGGCCAGCGAGGAGCGGCGGCTGACGGTGTAGGCCGAGCTGACGGTGCTGGAGGTGCTGGCCCGGCGCTCGCTCAGCGGGGGCGCGGAGGCCAGGTCGCTGGCGGACAGCTCCAGGACGCGGCGGTGGGAGACCGCGGGGGGTGGGCCGCACAGGCTGGGCATCTCCCCGGGGGGGCCTGCAAAGGCGGGGGGTTACTGCAGGGATGGGGAAGGACGGGGGGATTGGGCAAAAAAGCCAAGGCTGCAGGTTGAGGTTTGGGGGGCAGCTGCACGGGGGCAGCTGGGGGGTGCAGGTGCATGTTGGTGGCCAGGGGGTCAGGTGTGTGGGGGTGGCTGGGGGTGCAGGTGGTTGGGAGTAGCTGGGGGTGCAGGTGGCTGGGGGTGGTGCAGATGGCTGGGAGTAGCTGGGGATGCAGGTGGCGT